TAGCCAATCGGAGCCGCGGGCTCGCGCGTACGGAGGCTGCGTGGAGATAGAAAAAAAATCTTACTTCGTCGCTGGCCCCTTAACGAACGTCCCTGCGTCGAGACAATGAACCATACCTTACTCCTTCCCCGCGAGATTTCCCCCCCTCTCTCCCTCTCTCTCTCTCTCTCGCGTTGTTTTTTGTCTCTCGCCGAACGGAGACAAAAATCCCGTTGGGCGATTTGCATGCCGGCTGTCGCCGGCGTGCTGAAAGTGCACGCAGAAAAAGCCGATCGAAGAAGTAAAAAAGTGCCGCAGGGGTTGCGAGAACCATTATTTTAATTTTCGTACTGCTACCGTGTCGAGAGGGGACGAAAATGACGCGAGAGCCAGAGAACTCCACTCGCGAGAGAGAGCGAGCAGGGGGGGGGGAGGGAGAGAGCGAAGCGAAGGATAGTTACGAAGGAGGGCAGAGAAAGGGATAGATGAGTCCTTCCTTTGCATAATCTTCGTCAGGGGTGGTGTTTCGCGCGAGGCCAAGGACTCCACACTCCCTCTTTCTCTCTCTCTCTCTCTCTCTCTCTCTCTCTTTCTCTTTCTCTCTTCCTCTCCCTCTGTCTCGCAACGCGCTAAAAGAACGATTCCAGTTGCTGGTCCGGGGTACGCGAGAACGGCCGAAGGTGTTTTGCATCTAGCCGAATAAAACGACGGGCTCAGCTCGGCGGATGAGGCAAGAGAGAAGCCCCTTCCTTCTTCACCGACGAGAAATTACCCTAAAGAACGCCTCTAAGCGTTTTAAGGGATTATGGTCGGGCAGGCGTAAAAAAGCCCGGAAAAAGGGTTGACCACCCGCTGGGCGAGACCGGCGACAGATTACAAGCTCCGAAAACATGTTAGCGATTTCGCACACCGCGCATTCACCGTCGACGCGTTCTCCTCGCTGCTAAACGGTAGCTCTCGAAAGGTGAGAAAGAGGGGGGGGGGAGGGGAGGGGATAGAGGAAGAGTCGATGGGAAACGGGAGCGTCATTACCGAAATCGCGCGTCAACCCCTCTGATAAAAATTATCGTAGCAACGGTAGATCGAACACCGACGACGATCGCCAGCGCGTCGCACGTGAACGGCATTTTTACTCGTCGGGATTCGTATTAAGAGAAAGCCAAAACACGGCTCGGCGACTCCGTCGGTCGTTCACGGAGAAGATAACACGATCATCCCCTCGCGAGACGCTCAGGGGTAAGGCTCTCCGCCGCGGGACACCCGTATGCGTCGTATGCAGATTGGCCGATTGTCTTGTGCAGCCTCGCTCTTTTCTCTTCTCCCGGCTATATCGCCCTTCTCGCTCCCCCCTCCCCCCGCCCCACGTCCCGCACAGCCCTTCGGAAAACTTTCACGGACGGTAGTGTCCCGTGAGAATGCCGTGAGACATTAGCATGCCGCGGATTATTTAAATCGCCTCTCTCCCCCCCCTCCCCTAGCCCGCCTCGCCGAACCTCCTGTTCCGTCGTGGTTCCGCTCCTTGTTTTTTTCCCGGGGCCTTCGCGAGAGTCCCGTAGCGTGGGTCCCGCGCGGGCACCCATAACCATAGACAAAAACCGGGTGAGCCTTTAACGGAAGAAGAACAAGAAGAAGAGTAGGGCGAGGGAGAGGAGAAAGAGGGGGGAGGGGGATATAAACGAGGCCTCAGGATAACTATTCCGCGTGGCGCACAGGTCCTACGGCCGATAAAGAGCGTCCTCGAGATGACTGCCGCTCCACCATTCACATTCAAATCCGGCCCTTTTCGCACCGCACGAAGATAGAGGAGACCCTAATTTCTCTCTTGGAAAAACAAACGAGCCCACTGTGCGATCGAGGATTCTTTGGGACCGCGTTGTAGGGATTGTTTGAGTATGGGCGGTCGCGCGGCGACACATTTTCACGGATGATATATATATATATATATATATGTGTGTATCGCAAGTTGCGGGTCTCTCCCATCCGACGGAAGCGAGAGAGAAAGAGAGGGACGAAGAGTGAGAGCAAAGCGATGTTTCTCTCTCGCGAAAGTTTGACCGAAAGGAGCGCGCGAGATAAAATCTCACGGGCCAAGTGTGGGTTTGCCGACGCGTCAACGATATGCGAATCGCTTCGCGACGCTGCAAAAAAGCAACGTGCCGCAAAAGGAATCTAAATTAGAACCATTACTCGCGGCGGACAATCGCGAGGAAGTTTCGTTGGCAATCAAGTTTCAAGATGCACACCCACACACACAACACACGCAGAGTTTCGCTACGTCGACGACGGTTCAATAAAAATGAGAGAAGAGCCCCGATAAATTTGAGCAAAAACAGTCATCTTCAGTCATCGTTGCTCGTCGTGAAAGTTCCAAGCGTCACGATTACGATTTCACGATTACAGTTTCGATGGAACATTTCGGAAACGGCGTGTCACGATAAAAAGTACGACTTTTAAGCAGTTCCATTTAAGAGGCGCGCTTTCGCGAGTTGGTGTGTTATTCGTTTCTCTCTCTCTCTCTCTCTCTCTCTTTCATCGCTCCTCGCCTCAATTCCACCTTGAATGGAATGGATCGTCGCTACTTGATTAATGCAAGAAAAACACCGCGAAACCACCCCTATCGATTCAAATGAACAACTACTTTTCCGTTATTCCTTCTCTTCTCCTATTCATTCCTTGTCGCGCGAATGCACATACACGCGCTCTTCCTCTTCCTGGAAAGTCTTTTTTTCGCGCTTCCGTCTATTTGTTTTCTTTCTCTTTTCTCTCTCTCTCTCTCTCTCTCTCTTATACTTTTTTTTCATCTCGAGGTGGAACCTCGACGAAAGAACGCTGCTATGTAAAGCGATCTTCAACCCTTTTCGGCGCCCTTTTTCGCCGTCGTTTTTCGAGTCGTTTGTGCCCCACTACTGCCCCCATCCCACCCATTGCGATTTTACCGCTTCACCCCTTTCCTCGACGCTCTCTCGCACTCTTTGTCTCTTCCTCTCTTGACGGTCTCCTCTAATCCAGTCTCGTCTAAATTATGCAGGATTCTCGTCCGGAGATAGCGCGAAGGGGTGGAGGAGAAAAAACAAAATCAAAACAGGGGTAGCGCGTATTCCGTTCCGCTGACACCGCACATTAAAAAAAGAAAAAGGAAGAACGCCGAGCGGGGATTTTTTTTCTACCATTTCCGAAGCTTCGGCGACGTCGTAGCTGCGCGCGTTTAACGGTGTCTTTCTTCCGGCCATTTTTAATTCAGCCAACGTTCCTGCGCTTCTCTTTCTTATTTCTTTTTCGTTTCCCGACCGTTTCTTTCTTTCGAATTTTTTCCTCCGTCGATCTTTTTGTCGCGAATCGCAGCTTTCACCGACTACGTGGAAAATGTACGTGGAAAAATAACTAGGAGAACCCGACGAGAATTGCTTATCAAGTACCGCGCGCGCGCGCGCGGTCTTTTATCAGTCGATTTATCACCTCTGTCGTTAATCCAGCCGTATTCGCAAACGCGATTTCTCTTCAGATCAGATCTTGTCTCATCAAGTGACGACGAACGCCCGTTCTCGAATTTTCGACCGGAGCATCTATCTATTGTCGCTGAGTTCGCCACGCGTCCGTTAAAGACGGGAACCTTCTACATGATAAATAATTTGACATACCTTGATAATACACGATGCATCGCGTCTCTACGTTCTGCGTTGACTTTCCTGATTTCTCAATTCGGCATCTCAGCTGCTTCATCGCGACACTCTGACACTCTGACACTCGCGTGTACGACTCAATCCGAGATGCACGTGCTAAATAACGCGATGCCGACGAGGGGGCGGTTAAAATATTCGAATAGTTCACGAGGCGCATTTTGATCTCACACACACGAGGAGGACGCGATAAATAAACGTGCCGATAACCGTAGTTCGCCTTTCGCGTGTCGCTCGTCGACTGAGAACGCTCGACAATGAACACTCGGAAAAGTTCGCGACGCACAAAGCTATGTTTACACCTCGGCGACCTGGGATGTGTTGATTGTTTTGATTGTTTCATACTCGGCAATGACGAGCTACAGTCACCGCGGCTCTTCATGGGGGAGGGAGGGGACAAGTTTACTCATTTCGCCGCGCATCTCCGCGGCTGAATGTTAGATCTTGCGCCAAATAAAATTCGTCAGCTCTTGGAATATTTAATCGGACACCACCCGGAGGGGACGACATCGCGTTAATCAACATGTGTTTTTCCAGTCGAATCGTATCTACATGACTGCCGCGAGTCATGACAGAGGCCATGACAGATTAGAACTGGAGCGAAAGGCCAGAACGAGAAATGCAGGACGGTAGAGCGATGCATCGTATATCCGCAGATGTGTTAAACGCGGGGGGGGTAATGCCGCGACGCCAGTGAAAAAATAAATAACGAAGAGATTGTGGAGGAAAAGATCTGTTGTTTTGTACTTGTTCACCAACCACACACGTGCCCGTGAATTTTTGTCGGCTTATTTAACGTTCGCTTATCGTCGTACGCGCAGTTGAGTCGCTCGATTAATCGTAAAAACGTTCGTATTTATAAGGCAAGATCAACGTGAAGAACACGTTTCCTCGCTTATTGCGTACAAGCAGGTCAATACAGCCCGTATATAACGTCCTCCAAGTTCGACGGAATAGCGTTAACGCGAAGCGTTCCAATGTCGACCCGAAGTAACTTTTACATTTATATAGAAAGAATTTACTTATGCACATCGAACTGATGTTTAAACCCACCTTCGTTGCTTAAACATTTACGTTTAACATTTATTTCACGATTCCGCTATTTCTCCGAGCTGCCGGCGCGCGCGGGGCCGTTTTGACGGTATTCCGCGCGGTATCTACGTGCGGAGCTCGCGAGATCCAACGGGTTTCCAACGGGGTTCGATAACGGATGCCGGATAACAAGAGTGCCTCGGATCAAATTAGACGGGATGAATGATGTCGGCGATTTTTCATCGAGATTCCCGGGGACACGCAGAAGTCATTCGATCGAGGTATGAATGATCGTGATAAAAGCGTACTCACGTCACTGGAAAGGCCATTGTTCCACGGGTAAGGCGGCTGAGGTGGGGATTGCTGTTGATGATGAACACTGACGCCAGTGGCCGAGTGCGGATTGTGAATGTGTTCCGCCATAACACTGACCCAATGGGCCAGTCCTCCACCTCCGGCGGCCGCTGGGCCCGTGCCACCTGTTCCTGCCCCGCCCGTCCCTCCACCGCCACCACCGCCTCCACCACCACCGCCTTCTTCGCCACCCTCCGACCACGCGAACGAGGTTTTCTGCAAAGAAACATTTCGGCTCGTTGAGACTCGCATATTCGCCCCCGCGCTGTGGCGCCCGTCGCGGCACGATTAAGCTCATGCTGCACGAAAAGGAGATACAAAAAGGAATCCTTCCAAAGCACGCCGAGAGTCCTTCGATCGCGCATATTCGGCACGGGATGATTATTCGCCGTGAGACATTCGCAGAAATTCTACTTTTGGACTCAACGCGTGTACTATCGTTGCAAAATTATTTATACCGACAAATCGCGCATATGTCTCGACTATACGTTTCGTGCTCCTCGTGGCTAGTGAAAATTTCGGATATTATTAATGCGAGGAGAATGTTGCGTGTCACGTTTCCAGGAACGTTAAGATTGCCGAGTATAATTAATCACAAAAGTCCGTTTCTTTGTACAAGAGGATCTTGGACCGGAGGAATCCTCCTTGCATTAATCACGGTGATTATTAAACTCGCTCGTTCTCGTCCGGCCGACGAGGCAACATTAGGTATTCATGATCGAGTGCGCGAGAAGAGTTAGTCCATTAATAAATTGATCGATGAATCAGCCGGCATGGAGCTGGAAGATACTACCCGATGTCAAAATTTCGAAACTCATTACACGGCTTTTCGTCGCGAGCGCAACACGGCTTTTCCAATCCCGTTCCTCTGTCACGCGTTATTAAACGAAGAGAGCCGCGCGCGCGCGCGCGCGATGATGCGCAATAAATTTTACCGTTCGCCATCCTTCGTTATAGTTATTCCACTGCTTCGTCCTGCACCGTACCGTAGTGAATATCCCTCTCATTACGGCGCAGGTACATGTCGTAAATATAAAAATGCTGCCGTTTACACAGCCGAAAGAATCGAAACGAATATTCAACGTTCGAGGACTGAAAATTCTTACGAATACACATCGCGAGAGGAAATCCGATAGTCTCGGCGTATAGATTATTCTATATGCGTATAGCGGCCAGTATGCATTTGCAAATTCGAGGGTAATTATACCGATCTCCAGCGCTATCGACCGCGGGAGACGTCGTAAGAAATTCATAGCCTCAGACAAAGAAGAGAAAATGTACGTCGGGGCGATAGCCAATCGATACGTCGTCGAATGCAGGAGCGATGAGCGAGGCGGTTATAAAAGTAGATGCAACTCGAATCATCCTTGCGGGATACCCTCGCGATATTTCTTCCACGCGATATCGGCTCGACATTCCGTTTCTGTTCCAACGCAAATTTCATATTCATCGTTTAAAATTGAACTGAAATTCAATAATGTCATTAGCGCGCTACCCTTTCCGCCCCCCTCCCCCTGGCCCTTGCTCTCTTTCTAATTCAACACCCCGACTTCTCTCTCTCTCTCTCTCTCTCTCTCTCTCTCTCTCTCTCTCTCTCTCTTTCGCACGTACGTACGTAAACACGAATGTTGGAAGCTTTTTTATCGCAGCTTTTCGCGACTGCGCGTTTCGCACTCCATTTCTACGTTTAAAGAAATTTTCTCTTACATTCGCTCGTTACCCTCCAAAGCACAAAACAGGCGTGCTCGCGTATTTTTCGCTCTTCTTCAAAAGAATCCGGCTCCTGTCCTGTCGCTTTTCTTTTTTTCATCTCATCCCTGCGCCGGGTGAAATCTTTGCGCGACCTAGTTAACTAATCGGACTAAATCGTTCATTAAACGGACTTTGCATTGAAATCGCTAATTGTCCGCGCAGCGGTGCGTCGTGAGAAAAATGTGTTGCGAATCGCGAGCGTGATTATTGGTTTCTCGAATAACCGTCCCCCGGAGCTTACCAGGGGTGCTATTTCTTAAGGGAGTCTCGCAGGGGGATGATGCGTTTCATTATTGCGACCAACTTAATTACACGTTCTCGAGCACGCAGCGCGATGTAGCGCTTGTGAGGTACCTCTCTCTCTCTCTCTCTCTCTCTCTCTCTCTCTCTCTCTCTCTCTCTCTCTCTCTCTCGTCCCCCTCCCCTCTCTCTTGAGCCTCTCTCCCTCAGCTTAATGCAAGTTCGAAACGCCGTAGTTTTCGTTTCGTTAGAGTCCGACCTAAGATACATGAGAAAACGAGAAATGGAAACAAAAAATATTTAGATATAAATCAATTAGAAATACGCCGGCGGCGGAGACACAGTAAATTACCTTTCCCGCCATTAGTCGCGCGAGCAATCTGTCTCCTCCGCGATAAAGTATAATCGAACGTAATTTCCACCGCTCCTAAATTTAACTGTGTATTCCTCCCTCTCTAGTTGCCTCGTCGTTACACTTAATCGATATCGTGCACAGCGTTACAATCTCTCGCTGTCAATGAGTGTGAATAATTCAAATATAGGACGGATAAAATTCATTAAGTGAGTCGGTGGATCGCCATTGCGCGTCTCTGTAATATACTTTCTAAGTTTGGCCGCGGCTTTGCCGCGCTCGCCGTTTTATCGGCAAAATCCAGATTGAGAAATAATTAATTGTTGATCGGTTACCAGCACGGCCCGATGATCGATAGCATAACGGATAGAGGCGGTAATAAATGTGCTCGTTTATCGATATTCCCTCGCCATGAACCGAGAGAACGCCCGAATGGCCGAACGGTGAACTTTTTGATGCTGTTATAAAAGTCGATGAAGTCAATACGCGGTTCTTCTTGGTAATAGCGAAAACAATATACGGCGAAAACGCTCTACATCTGGAAGACGCGTAATGCACGGCGAAAATTCGACGCGACGCCGACGACGCGTCGAATTCGGCCAAGGAGAAAGAGAGAGAGAGAGAGAGAGAGAGAGAGAGAGAGAGAGAGAGAGAGAGAGAGAGAGGGAGAGGAGACACGCGCTTCTCTCGAAGGAAAGACAAGAAGAGAAGACATTAATCTCGACTGAGAGTATCGCGACATCACGATAAAAGGCGACGTCTTCAATCGCGTGTAATTGAAACGAACGCGCAGGTACCTTATGGATCGGGGTCAGGTAGCTTCGAGTAAAACGAGCCAAAACCATAATCGTGCCAAGAAAAGTTCCTGCGCGGCCGTAAGTCGGGCGGGAGCAAAAGGAAGCAACAGGAAATCCACGGCAGAGCGCTCTCTTCCGTGCTCTACTACGGCAAATTAATAAATTATAATAAAAAGAACGCGCGCGAGCGCGAGAAAGTATTCATCTAAATCCACTTTTACAGCGATTATTAAATTCGCTCTCCCCTCCCCTCCCCCTCCTCTCTCTCTCTCTCACTTTCTCTTTCTCTCTCTCTTTCTTGCTCGGCGCAAGAAACTTTGCAACCGCCTCTTAGGAACGACCCATCAGCCGACAAGTCGCGACGCGTCGCGACGAATTATTAATACAACACTATTAAAATAGAGATATTAATTAGACGACTAATAGGATTCGAAATGGGAGGGGGGGAGGGGGAGTTCGCTCCTTCGACTCGCGCACTACCACTCCCGTGTTTGTTCTCAAATCTGCTGAAAGTGGCTCCGCTCGCAATATTTTCCCTTATCCCGGGCTTTTAATCCTTATTCGATTTCTCCCCCCTCTTCCCTGCCCGCGTCCGAGCTCTGCAATCACACACGAGTCTCGTGTGTCCACGACGAGCGGAGTAGAGCGATCTTATCGTACGGTGAGCGCGATCATCGTTCGAGATCGCGGAAATGAAAGCGGGGATAATCGCGCACGGTGGAACGTAATCAAGATCGCCAAGCAAGGGGCATCGAGAGAACGCCGGGGAGAGGAGAGAGCGCGTCGGGTGCGCGCGTTAGCCGTGCAAACGAAATCTCGGCTCGCCCTCGCGTTTTATGCTCTCGTTACGCGGAAGCTCGTAGCCGCTAACTATGCTCTAACTTTTTTAACTGACAACTTATACCGGCGACGACGACGCCTCGCCGGCGCAGCCGCCGCTAAGACGTACTTTATCTCGCAAACAGTTTCCCCGACCTGTCAACCAGCCTTTAACTCCTCGCTAACTATCCGCACGATCCTCCGCGACGTCGCGCCCGCGTCCTCCCGCTTCGTACTTCCGCGCTCCTCCACTTCCGCTTATATACTCCTAATATACCACGAGCACTGTGCGAGCCCACGTGACGTTCGTTAAACCGTGCGTCGCACAAGACCCTTCTCGACCTTTTTTTCCCTCTTTCTTATTTTTTCCCACTTTGCTCTCGCTCCGAAAACAGGCGAGCCGAAAAAATTAAAGGGCGATACCGAAAATTAAATTTCGCACACGGTATTGGAAGAAAACGAGAAGCGAATTTCGGAATCACGCGCGAGCAGAGACTTGTCCTCGTATTCCGTTTGGACACTCACAACGTGGTGAGTCTTCTCTTCAATATTACAAACCGCGTAAAAGCACGCGGAGTTTTAAGGACCGGAACACCTATTTCTTTCTTTCTCTCTCTCTCTCTCTCTCCTTCTTTCTTTTTCTCTCTCTCTCTCTCTCTCTCTCTCTCTCTCTCTCTCTCTCGCTATATTTCCCTCTTTCTCCCTACCTGCAGCGTACAACGCGTTCCGTTCTTATGAATTCGCCGAGGGGGAACAACACTCGACACTGCGCATGCATGTGCCCGGGCTATTATTTTTGTCGTGGAAGCAATTGTGCGCGGCGACAATGACGCGATTCGACGGCAGACTACAATGCGACACAAGCGACAAGATGCAAAATTTCTCTCGGCGACACACGAGCGCGCGCGCGCGTCTAACCTCATCGTGATCTTCCCGATGAAGGGCCAAGTTCCTCGGGAAGGCGGGCACGCTGCTGACAGTCAAACCCTTCAGGTCTTTTAACTCCTTCAGTGCACCGAGCGCGTTCAGGTTGTCCTTGAGGTTCGCGAGATTGAAATTAATCCCCTGCTCTTTGAAATTGAGATGCCTGTTGAGCACAGTTTTGCCTAAGGCGCTCGCCAGCAGACTATTGTACAGCTCGTTGCGTAGGATGAACTTCCTCTCGGCACTATTGTCGTCCTTGCTCGACACGTCGTTTGAAGAATCCGAGTCCACCTCGACGGAAGAGTTCGAGACGACACTCATCGTGGACATTTTACTTCTCTCGTTACACGGATTCGACGCAAATGAAAAATATCTTTCTGATACTCGACGCGCTAGAAAGCACCCTTTTCTTGGTCTCCGCCAAATCTACTTCCGCTCTATTCTCCGTGTCTGTCTCTCTCTTTTTCTCTCTTTCTCTCTCTCTCTCTTTCTCTCTCTTTCTCTTGCCTTCTTCTTTCTTTCTGTATTCAACGAGGGTGAGTTTCAAAATCGCAAGGACCTAATAAAATACCTGTACATGTGTTCCTTGTATATGTA